CATTATAAGGTACAGTATGACCAATCCCCCTTGTGGGTATGAGCCAAGATCTTCTATAGGCGACAAGACAAGACAAGTAGACCGAGAAGCAGCTGGATATCCGGCCCTTACCTGCTTGATGTGTCAATTGGAACCACGCTTAGTAGTAATGAAGTCACAGTAATGAGATTACGGTAATTAAATTGCTTCTTGTCAAGATATAACTAACAGATTGCGAAAGAAAGCATAGGGAATGTTGTTTGTATTACCTGTAATGTAAATGTGAAGAAATAAAAGTGCAAGAAAAGATAACTGGCAGGTCGCAGATCCGGTCCCTGCCGAAGGCGAGTTATCTTTTCGTCCGCATTTATCTATCCACACTTATAGCACGGTTGCTATTAGGAATAACCCCTGCACTTTCCTTGACGTCATTGCTAGCTCTCATTAATATTGTTTATAACAAAGAAACAAAATGAACCCCTAGGTTGCACTTCTTTTCATCTTGTTGTAATAAGTGAAGGAATTGGATGTGGATTGGTAACTTATCAATACAATATATTCAGTACATAGACGGCCGTAACTACCGTAAAGACGCGTTAAGCTGACTCTCCCTTGTTTCCCGCGACTTTTCGGCGCGATTATTAACGATCTCCAAAAAAGAGAGTACGCAAGTGGAGGGTGATATAGTGGATGAGAAAGGAGTCAAAGGACTCAGAGTGCGGTTGTATGTTGGCGCGTGTAATGTGAGCGTCATTATGTGTCCGTTTCGAACATGCTCAGTCCTGTTTGAACCCTTACATTCGGGTTGATGGCACCCGCACTGCTCTCTACCACGCGGCGTGGATGAGCCGTCGAGGAACGTGTCGAGACATGCCCGGCTGACGGGGGCGTCGCAAGGCCTGGGCGGCGGCCGCTTCCTGGATAGGAGTTGCTGCTGGGTAACCTTGTGTCTCCCTCTCTCTGCTAATAACACTGCAATCCGTTCTGCAAACTCTGCTGCGGCGAGATAAACCGAGCTCGGCAGATTCTTAGCTAAACACAACGCGCGCGCACGCACACAATATTGTTCGTGGCCGCCCTGATTAACCTTCCAGCAACAGGGAGAGGCCTTGCACGAAGAAAAGCGAGTTGTACAGTCGCCGCCAAAAGTTTCTAGAGGCCACTATACTCGCACCACTCAAAGTTCGCGCACCACTCAGCTCAACTCATTCAGAATGCCGTACCAACTAGAAGCTTTGCTGCAGCGGCAATTAGCCCGCAGACTTTGAACCCTTTCAAACTGCCCCATCCCTGTCGCCAGTGTAGGGTAGCATACCAGTCGTTCTAGACTGCTCAACCTCCCAACCTTTCCTCTCATGTTACCTCTCTCTCTGTGTGTGTGTTTCACCAAAAGCATCTCAAATAAGTATTTGCTTAAGCTTTAAACAACATTACGAGATGTATTATGGAATTTTATGCATCCGTTTCCGCAAACATATGGAGGGGGGCTCATTTATACTGCGAGACAACTTGAAAACACGGTTCGGGTTGAGCGAATCATAAATGAAGGAAGCGGAGGTTCATCGGGGTTGAACGATTGATGCATACGACCAAACTATTGAAGTCGCGAAACCTTGTCTGCCATGATATCATCGTTAGACTGACTGACTTTGTCCACCTGGATTTCACCTAAATCTGTAGAACACCCCGCATGCGGGCTGTTCTTGCCGTGCAGTTTCCGTCAATGGAATAGTTCTTTCTTGTAAGAGGGAACAGAGGGGCTGCTTCATGTGTTTGCACCGAGCGTCATGAGTGTTTTTTTTATTTATTTCCGAGGGGATGGTGGTCGGGATTCTTTCGACCTCCCTTTCACTCCAACATGCACAGCGCGTTTTCCAAATGGCTCAGCGCGACGTAAACACGCAAAACATTTTGAGCTTCTCATGCGCACGCGACATTCAAAACGAGTTGGAATAGCTCGAGACGGGACACAGAGGCGCCAACAACAGAAACACTCCCCCACAAATGGCGGAACTAAAAGAAAAATTCCTCCGCTTCACGGCACAGCGCATTTTCCAGCATGCACGAAAAAGCCGAGCCTATTTACGCTATGTGTTCACAAAAGGTTTGTTACACGAAAGATAACAAAGGAGAGGGTAATAAAGATATGACAGCAGAAGAACGAAATTATATACATACATACACTTAGAGTGGTGCAACAAAAAAAAAAGTGAAAAAGTTAATAAAGTACCTCGGCCCGTATTGCAAGTATAACGGGCTTAAACGAATAAAAATAAATGAATAGGACAGAAGCCAAAAGGTAATTTTGATTTTAAAGAACAGAACAAGAAGAAAATAAAAACAAAAACAAAACGAAAGCAGGTTAATGAAAAAGAAATTTAGTACGTACAGTATTCTCTCGCACATAATTGGCGCAAAAAAATTTATAGAACAAAAAAAAGTGTGCTTAGAAAGCTGATACCTACATTCATGGCACTCCAGAAATGGCTAGCAGCCCTTCATCGCAAAAAGGGATTCATTTTCTTCAGCATGCTTGTACACGCTGTGCTCAGGGCGCGAAGTCATGATGATGATAATGTATAACCACGTTAATTTCCGCCTTTTCACTCTTTTTTTTTCATACATTGTGCGATTGCGATAAATGAAACCGTTTTTGCAAGTCAGCACTGCAGTCTGTGTCTTTCTTTCTCGGGTTATCTTTATGCGTTGCTTTTATGCCAGGTATGTCGCACCAACTCGCCAGAGGAACCACGTCAGCTAAAAAAATGGGGGAACGCTGGTTATATCGCGGCATACCAGTGATGGTCACAATCGCCATATCACACCATATACTTTGAACGCATACTATTATTTTTTTCGACACTGTATTCTTCCCGAACCATTAGTGAATTTAATGCACTGCCATCAACGTTTTCCTGAACGTGTCCTTCCTGATTTCGAAAAACAAATGCCTCTTTTTTTGTGAACTTCATTGTTGATATTGCCATGTTACGTTATGAACAGCTCATTATATTAGTTGTGCTGCTTCACTAGTGCGCACATGAAACAGTTCTCCAAATTCGCTCCATTTCTTTTTCTGGAAATATATATTTAGCAATTTTCGTCAGCATGCTCTGTAATAATGCTCTTTATAAGCTGCTGTATCAGTTGTTCACATCTTTCACTGTGTTTCCCTTTTCTTGGTCCTCTGGTGCTTGAATCTTCAACCTGAAGTATGTACTGAAGAAGTAAAAAAAAATGAACATGTGGTGGCAGGTTTCACAGATAGACAGTAGATAGATAGATAGATAGATAGATAGATAGATAGATAGATAGATAGATAGATAGATAGATAGATAGATAGATAGATAGATAGATAGATAGATAGATAGATAGATAGATAGATAGATAGATAGATAGATAGATAGATAGACAGATATGTAATCATGACCTCCACTCTCAGCGTATACCCGGTCCAAAAAAATAAATAAGAAAACAGAGCGCACGGAATGCTTCGGAAGCAGATGCGAAAGCGGAATGAATTAAGAGACACATGCTTTTGCTGCAGCGCCTAGGAAGGAAAAAAAATGCAAACAGAAAGACTCGAGTGTCGGCGTGTCACGTTCGCAGAGCGCGCCGCAAGAAGCTTCCGCATTCAAAGGGACGCGCGCGTTTCCCTCGCATGCATAACGACGAAAACCCCGGAAGATCTGGTTACGTATGGGCTCCACGAAAAGGAAGGCGCGGTTTAGTTAGGCCACTCTGACAAGGTTAACCGCGTAGCAGCACCACCATGTGCGATACTGGAGGGATTGTGCATATAACAGGTACCGGTTTAGCGTAAGGATCAATATTTGCTAGAGCTTTAACGTCACAAAAACGCGATATAACTGTGAGGGCGTCTTAGGGAATGGCTGCATGAGTTTCGACCATATGGTGTTCTACCGCCATCATCGTTAGCTTTACTACACCCACTGCAGGACAAAGGCACCTCTCAAGTGCCGCCAATCAACCCGGTACTGTACTTTCTGCTGCCACGTTATACCGGCGAACTTTTTTTAATCTGATCAGCCCACCTAACTTTCTGTCTCCCCCACCTGCCTTCTCTAGGAATCCAGTCAGTTCCAATCCTGCCTACGCGCTTTGTGCCCGGACCATGACTATTTCCTTTTCTTCATTTCAACTATCATTTCAGCCATTTCACCGTCAGTTGCGTTTTCTAGCACCTACTACTGTTTGTTGCTATACATCTATATGGCAAAAAAAAAAGATAAAACAAGTACGAATATGGGCATCAGCAGGGCGGTGCAAAAGAAGAAACTGATCCATACACCAAACCTAGCGCCAGACTCCCCTCACCATCCGTGATGCAACAGTGGTTTGCACCCCTCAAGGCAAAATCCAACCGACGCCAATGTTTCAGAGCCCTCATTTGGGCTAGTTAGTAGAATCACACAAGTTAGGGCGAGATGGCGATGGCTATCTGTGTAATACGCACCACACAACAAAGGAGGAGTAAAAAGGGGTGATTTCGCAGACACTTAAATAAGAGGAGGTTTCGCGCCAGGAGTGAAGGGGCAGCACCTATGCTTATCACTGCTCTATGGAAACTGTACGCGTGGCATGCACGAACACCGCCACCGAGTTGCACAACAACTCAGCCTCGCCCAATGTCAAAACTACGGTGGTGTCAAAATAACGCGCGCGATATGCTCGCTCCCTCCCGCTGGCTTATTTGCTTTAGTACGCCTACTCGATTGAACGCTGTTACACACACGCAGCAATCGAGTCTCCTTCTAACAACCCGAATTCTCTTCGTCACCGAGACTGTTTGTCGCAGAGTACTTTAGGTGGCAGCCGTGAACTCGCCAGAACTCGTTGAGAGAGCGCCCAAGTCGCCCAAGGCTGTTTCGCAGAGAAAAACTCCTTTTTAGGTGAGGAGGCTGCGTCAGTCCCACGGAGGTAGGAAAGGCCTTTCCTTCCTCCGCGGTTTCTCTCAATGCGACCGTGGCGCCAAAAACGGCAGCGGCGGCCGAGAGAGAAACAGGAGCGCGAAAAGAGAGAGGGGTTCTCCTGTAGACTCTCCGTCATCGACGCGCTCCGTCCGTGCCCGTTGGAGAGATTCGTGCAAGTAGGAGACCAAAGGTGCTTCGCGTGTTTGCGTCACTCCGTCGGACCATGCCAGGCACGGTGGCCGTCAACCTGCGTCAGATGCCCATGTCGCGGACTTTTCTACGTGCGATGCCAGAGTTTAGGTGCGCGCGAACGGCCAAGCGACGCCTCTTCGACGAAGTGGACCACGAGCAGCTTCAGCGCGACCTCGAAGAAGAGAACCGTGCCCTAGTCGCTCGCTTCGCCGAAGCTTACAACTTCGATCTGAGCACGGAGACGCCCCTGCCGGGCCGCTTCGAATGGCAGAGCGTCGGAGAACGGGCCGCGGCTGCTTCTGCGAGCCGCGCGTCGGAAGCAGGGGACGCCGTCGTTGCTTCGGAAACAGGGGACGCCGAGCCTGCTGCGATAGCGCAGCGACCCCAGCGACCAGTTTCGCCCGCTAGGCAACGTCTCATCTCCGGTGAGTTTGTCGACACCGCGAACGGGGTGGACGCCCGTTGTGAGACCGGAAAAAGTGGCTGTTCCGCTGCGATCGCGCTGTTTTTGCCGTGTGCGAAGTGGTTTTGGCTCCTGGAGTTAGGCTTAGCCGCCCCTACGGCCAGCTTCCACGCATCGCAAATGGCGTAGACGGGACAGCCGAACGTTGGGGCAGTCGGCCGCTTTCAGTGGTGACGTTATGTTGCGTCGCTCGTTATTCACCTACTGCATGCGTGGTTGCTCTCAGACGCAACGCTGCACCCATACGCCGAATTTATGCGCTTAAATTGCAGCGAGGGCCGCAAGAAACAAAAAAGCGAAAATACTCTTCCGGAATGGGGCGTGGGTCGCTTTGGAGCTGTTTAAAACGACAGCGGCTTGGTTATGTGAAGTGGCGCCATCTCCCAGAGAAGATTGAAAGCGAGTTTGACCTCGCACATTGTTGCTAGATGGTGGATCACGCGGTCAAATGCGGGGTCTTTGGCCGGCGTACGTTGCTTATTATTATTTTAGCCGGTGTTTGTTTCCTGTTTCGCTGTACCATCGTGCTACGTCGGTCGTGTGAACGCGGTCAATTACTCAGTAGTAATGAATGACACGTTCGACGGAGATTTGTACGGTCGGTAATCAAGTTGACGAATAGTGTTGGCTGCTTTTCTAATGCCAACGAAAAAATTCACGGCAGCTTTCGCACGAGTGGTTCCGAGCCTAAAGGAAGCGCGCAGTTGCGTGACCTTCTCTTTCTTTTTTATTTCTTCTCTTTCTCCCTGTTTCTCGTACCTCTTTTGTTGTTGTTATTTGATTCGTTCTCTCCACATATTTTCTTTATTTCTCGCTCTTTCTATCTTAATTTCACTCTATTGCGTTATTTTTTTTCTCGTATTGTATCCCTCATTATTTCTCTTTCTATTTTTATTCGTCATGATCAGGCTGACTCAGGGCAAAGGCCTCTATGCTCTCTCTCTCTCTGTTTCTATCGCTTTCTCGTTTTCGATCGTTATTTCCTCTTTCTTTCTTTCTTATTTTATGTTTCTCATGCTCTCGCACTTGCTGTACTCGGTAGTGGGGCTTGCCGAATTTCTGCGGCTCACACCCACCTGGGGAGTTTCGTACGACCGAGCACAAGTTACGGACAGCTTAAATAGCTTCGCTGTTAAAATAGATATTGACGACATGCTCGCAAGCTAGGGCGTACACTTGTTTAGGTGCGTGTGGGGCTTCAGACGACATTGATAACATGGGCAACAGTTTCTTTAAATAATAATAATAATAATACGTTTCGGGATACTGCTATTAAGAAAACGATGTTATCATTTACGAGCAAACGTTTCCACAATCCAAACTACGTAGAAAGGTCAGTTTCTTTGTGTGTGGGTGGGAGGGGGTGCAAACATTCTTGTGTCGGTCTCGGCGTGTCTACGTGTCATGTCGTTGTCATGGTCTATCATAAACAGGAGCACGCCACAAATATTGGGCAGGTCCGATGACTCGCCACTTCGTTCTGGTCTCAAAGGTTTGTCGGTGGTACTGGCCAAAACATGTTTGGCTTAGTAGCTGTGTCACAATCCTCGACGAAATTCACCGAGGCGCTCAAACTTCTGACCCAAAACGGTAGGCACAAACGTGCAACCCTACGGCAGTGTCATCTATTTGAAACTGACACTTAACATATATCCAAACTGATCATGCGTCAGTGGACCGCGGGACCGAGTAATGCAGTAAAGAGTTTTGCTGCGGGAAAACTGCATTACTCGCCCCTCCTTAAGTTTACCGTTCGTAAAATTTAACCACTCCTCCCCCCTATCGTACCACTTTTGTATCTCTTCAAATTTCCGAGCCCCCTGATTTTTTTCCCCCCTTCGTTGAGGAAATGCGTCTCATGTGATAATATCAGGCGCCAAATCTTCGACAGGCCACTGAGGTCAGTCCTGGATTTACTCGCTTGCTTTTACAGGTCAAGTAACTTTTTTTTTTTTGTCTTCGTTGAAACACCTGAGCAAAAGGCCTAAGAGATGGGGCTCAACTTGAGATGGTTAGCAGCTTGGCGGGCACGTTGTATGTTCCTACCGAGACTGAACTGCTGCGCTACCTGAATCGCATGTTCGCTGTTCTTCGGGAAACAATTCCCGCGCACCCGCCCGACAGAGCACGCGACGCTGTCCACGAGCGGGCCACTTGGAAGCTCCGAAAACGCCACCCAAACGTTGCCGCAGCTTGTCTCTTCTCCGGTCGGTATCTCGATCACGTCATTCGTGGTAATTCGTGGCGCGCTTCCGGTTCCCGCTTTGTAGGCACACCCGCGTCAGCACCGCAGTGATTCGTGCGTGGTGGACGCCTTGGCGCTGTTTACGCTCTGCAAGGAACGAGCAAGCTGATCGCTGAAAACAGATATGCTTCACCCCGAAGAGCGTGGTTTTGGTTAGAACATGTTTTTTTTTTTTTTTTTTTTGCAGTATGCGCCTCGTAATGCCGCCATATTGTAGCGTAATCACTGAAATACGGCGTCGGAGAGAGGTTCCCGTATCTGGGTGTCGAAATCATGGCGGCACGGCGATGTAAAACGCGGCTGCCTGACGCGCTATCAATCAATCAATCAGCCTGCGGGATGCCGCGTCGAGGGAAGTATGAATCCCATCGGAAAAACTTAACAATGTGTTTATCCCTCGAGCAGCGGCAACGGGCGAGCATTCTGTGTGACGTAGTGGAGAACCTTGCAAGCTTGGTTTTGTAGCCAGCGACGCCGTGGTGGCGCTTGCCGGAGACGCTGCGCAGCGTTCGACCGTGTCACGCTGCTCTCGAATACGAGGCTGTGCCGTTTTAGGCGCACAGTGCGTCGCCACAAACTATTTAGACGGGACTATATTTGAGCATTAATAATAATAATGGTAATAATTGTTGAGGTGTAACGTCACAAAAACCGCGATACAGATACGACAGACGCCGTATGTGGAAGGCTCGTGGGGTTCTGCTCTAACGTGCACCCGAATTCAAGTACGCGTGCCCCGAGTATGTTCGCCACGATCGAGAATGCGGTCGGGACTCGAACCCGCGATCTGTCGGTCAGCAGTGGAGCAGCTGCTCGACTAGCAGCGTGGCAGGCCTCGTGGGTAATCCTGTACTCTCGGGCTTTGTAAACATGACATTGTGGTGTTAGAACCATGCAACGTCGTATTTACTTGAAATGACACAAGAATGGGGCTGGTTAGGGGTGGCGAAACCTATTGCGCGTAAACGAAGAAAGGCACGGACGAAAAATTGATGGCCGTACTGACTACAATTTCCAAGCATGCATATCGTCCTGTCTTCAATTAGCTCGCCCCGTGTTCTGATGCCGTATGATTCACGATCATAGATAGAAAGCGGAGTGATGCTTCGCCTCGTCACTAAGTTGTTCGGCAGGGAAACGCCATTTCGCGGAGCTCGGAAATCCGACCGATTAGTTTCCACGCACGTACGAGCTCTCTCCCAGCACGTCTGCGAGAGTGCGGTTTTAAAGTTACCATTCGTTACTTGATTGGCAAAAAGCATACTGGCATAGACACCATTGGTCGGCATTTTTTTTTCTGCTTTTGTTTTTCACCCCGTGGCGTTAAGAAATTTTGTGAATCGCCCTTTTCCCTTAATGAAGCTTTTGTATGGTATCACTACCACCACGTTGTACCGCGTGGTGACCCTCGATTCACCTTTAAAAAGAGTAATAATAGTGTGCAGAACTCACGCTGTCTCATGTATCGCGCTCGTCAATATTGGCATTCTTGAAACCATCTTCCTATTGAATGCTTGAATTTTTTTCTCCCCATCTTGTTTTCACGCAATAAATTCAGATTATTCACTGTCATTATATTTTGACCTGTTGGGGGTTTCATGCGTACCCAGAAGCGACGAGCCTATAATATTAACTTTCCAATCGTCCCGCACTGTACCATACACTTCGGTGTTTATCGTACGTCATCAACCCGATTATATGCGCGCGATATGTGTCAGCGGGATGCCACAACCCGGCGTGAGTTCTCGTCGCATGTTCGCGCGAGATACCGTGACGTTGTGACGTTAGCGCAGCCGCTCCGCTGCTTGGCTCCGTTTTGTGACGTACGAGCGACCATTTTCAAAGTTTTCGTGCCCGACGTCGTCGCAACGAGCCATGCTGGAGCGTGATGTCACCAGAGTTCCAGTGCTGTTGTACTGTATAGCCCGACGGCATGCCGGTGTCGACGATAGGCAGTAGGTGCGCCTTGATAAAATTCACTTTACGATAAAAAAATATTACATCACCATTTACTGAACTTCATGCTTGGTCAGAACTCTCTCTGTATACATCGCTTGCATCAACGTCACCGATACCGCCGTGTTGGAGCACCAGCATGGACAGGGGGGGGGGGATCATGACGTTGCCATGTTACATTATTTTGTCGAAATGTCACCTGCAGGTTCTTTCGTTATTCATGCTCGTAGGCGTTTCTTGCACATCGTTTTAGGGGCAAATTAGAAGTGTGGCAGCTTGGGCTAGTTGGTATGGCGTGACGATAGTTATAGCGCGAGAACAAAACGACGACACAGAAACAAGAAGGACACGTCTCTCGTGTCCTTCTTGTTTCTGTGTCATCGTTTTGTTCTCGCGCTATAGCTATCGTCTTGGGGGCGAAGCTTCTTAGGGTGTGGGTCTGTCCATCCTCCGATGGTGTACGTAGCCAGCGGTGACGCATACCCGAAAGAGCGGTCCTTAGAATGCCCGCTGGATGGCAGCGCTTGTATATGATGAATACATGATAAAAAGATGTGAGATGGCTGTACTTGGAGTGTTCACTAGATAGACGGACGGATGGACGAACGGACGTGCAGGTTAACCGGCGGACGTGCAGGTTGACAGAGGGGCGGATGGAAGGACAGACAGATAGAGGGACGGCCGCACGAACAGATGGATTGACGGAAGAACGGACATACGCATGGAGGGACGAATGGAAGGACGAATCTACCGACAGTCACACAGATGTACAGATGCATGGACCGACGGAAGCAAGAACGAATGGCGGACGAACACTTCGCCCCACCAATCATCATTCACTCCGTGGATATGTTGTGATATTTTTTTTACATTGAAGCAGGTCAAACCGCAACTCGCTTGTCATCGAAGCGGCCATCGTGGAGCACCAGTACTTCCAGAAGTTGCGTCCGTGACGTCACGTGCAAGCTATTTATGTGGGAAATCTGTATGGGAGAGTAAAGTCACCTTCTTCGAAAATTGGTTTCCCTCTAAAGGGCCCCTCACCAGCCTGCGTTCAAAGGAGAGAGAGTGGTACCCTCCTGGCCCTTCTTCCTCTCCGCTGATTTCTTGAAGGCACAATGTCAGCACTAAGCGTTGAGTGAATCAAGATCTCGCGCTTGTCGGCTTCATGCTGCTATTGCCACTTGTGCAGTTGGAAACGCACAACATGTAGCGGATTCAGTTGGTCGCGCACGATGCTCCTGCGAGGCAGTGAACTAAGTATGGGCGGGTGCACGGCATAGCATTTCAGTCACATCTGATATTTCACGTATGACGATCAATCGAGAATATGTGCTGGTATAGACGTCTCGGGAATCGCGAATCTTGCGTCCCATAGTGTGCCAGTAAGAGGACGAATGACGGAAGAAGATAATATTATCGTTTTTTTGTATTTTCAAAGGTTGGTGAGGGGCCCTTTAAGTATCGCTACCTTGCCGATGTTGGTGGTTAGTCCTCGTCACTGAAGGGAAGTCAGTAACCGACGCCAAACCACTTCACTGACGGTTCTCATTGTTTTGCTTCCATCACCACTCGACAGCTGCATGCTTCTGTATCAGTGACGTCATGCGTAACGTTTCCACTCATGTCACGAGACTGCCGCATTTGACACTCGGCTTAATCACCTTCGAACATTAACTTCTGAAAGAAAGCAAAGTTTTTCCTTAAAACAATGCTTTCTTCAGAAAAATGAACAGTTATAATTTTGCGGCAATTTATGCTTCATTGCATATTGATTATATGTCTAACGTACTTGGCTTAGTTTACGTACCTCGGTGTATTTATATTTGATGTATAGTGTAGGTACAATCTCTTGCCTGCATGTAACATATTGCATAAATGTTTCCTCTTTATGTCTTGCTCAATCCTTTTCTTTTTCTTGTTACAACTGAGCTGTACTTTGTATATCTGCTCTGTGAAAACAAGCTATTCCTTTAAAATCATGTTTATTTAGACCGCTTAGGCAGTGAGTATGGGTCCAACCAGTGTTTAGTATTTTTATGTGCTAATGAGAACTTGAAGCAATGAATGAATGACGTGCGCCGGATTGGTGTCTCGCTGAATCTCACTAAGTGTCCTCTCTCCTCGCAGACTACTTCCAGGTGCGCAAGAGACTTCCGCTCGCAGAGAAGAGTGCCCAGCAGCCCCCGGCCAAGATGGCGAGACTGATGATGGCGCCAGAGAGTGTGCCCTAGCCGGAGGGGGTTGAAACCACCGAGCGGCAAAATCGCAGCGACACCGCCCGATGAAGAAACCCCCGTGCCTTCTTTTTGTGTGTGTGTGCCCGCTCGTGGGCGATGATGAATGATCTCAATGGCTGCTGCCCCCCCCCCCCCCCGCCCTTCATCCTTTTTTAACGTTCTCCAAGCTCTGAAGGACGTTACACCTTGCAAGGTTGCGGAAAGTCGCGCAAACAGTCACATCAGCAGCGCAGTGCCGCAGGTTGCTTTGCCTTTTACAAAAGGAGCGCCGCGTGCAACGTTGCCAATTACAGGAATCCCCACTGTAACCACTAGGGTTAATGCACACTGGCGACTTGAACGTAGCCTCCGTGATTAGCTCCGCGTTGCCGGAGCTGATTGCAGAGGCCACGCTCAGAGAGGTCACGCCACCGTAGTTATCGCAAATGTTTTGGCGCATCATCCTAAGTTTAAAAGTGACCAGTCGCGATGAAACGCTTTTGATCAAAAAGCAACTGTTTTAGCTCGCCGCGTTGCAACTGCGAAAGCGAGTGATTTACTGAAATCGAGTGACACTGAGTGTGCCAGAACATTGGCGACCAAGTTGGCGACCAAGTCTCCAACTTGGTGGTTAACTGGCGACTAAGTCGTCAGAGTGAATGTGCGTTCAGATGATGTCCAGCAAAAAAAAAAAAAGAAAAAAAAAACGGCGCTAAAAGCGCAGGCTGTCCTGTAAGTTGTGCTCTCGTCGATCCCGGTGGGATGTGGTGCTAGCCAACCTTGCAACACGTCTTCGAGGCCATAGACTACGTGCCACGGGCAGCCAGTACCGGTGTTTTGACCCGTCCTGGACTGACTGAGGCCTTCGAAGTGGCTAGCAGTCGCATCTACGTGTGTGAGCCTTACAGCCGCGACTGCCTTAAGAGGTGTAACGCAAACTTCCTTTCCTTTCCCCTGGAGTGAACACATACGCCCCGTACCTGATCAGAGAGCCGTCACCGACCACCCCTTCGAGTTCCTAACTCCAGCCCACCCAGTGTTTAACGTCGTCGTACCCTTTTCCACGATCTCAGACACACAAACTCACACAGAAAAGGGGAGCGCCGTCTTTTTTTCTTTCCTCGTCTCCTTTCCTTTTTTTTAAACAACAAAAGTATGTAGCATTTTTATTTTGTTTTTTATCGATTTTATTGATGAGTATGCACCTTTGTTGGTTTTATATTAGATGGTGGCGGCATGCGTACATATGTGCCTCGGCAGCGTGCAATAGGCGCCCCACTAAGGCGCCCTCTCCACCCAACACCACCTAGAAGACTTAAGGCCCCCTCGCCGCCTCCTCGCCCAAGCGCCTACGTCACCAAGCTCAGATCATCGCTCGGATGGCTGGGGCAACGCCACCTGTTGGCTGGGACCGACGGCGCGACAGCCCAGTCAGCCTCGCCAACGTCTGCGTCACGTGAACAAGCAGGCTGACAAGTCCGGACAAGAACAGCTACAGATGGCTCGTAGTGACATCCGCAGTGACTGACTAGAACCAAAATAACTCATTCTTTTTTTAGTTTTTGCAGTGATTCGGGCTCAAACATTGCCAAAAGTTGCAGAATTAACTACTCTGTTTCAATTAGCCAACTGTATTCTGAAAAAATGGCACGCCGAATTGGTAAAACATTATTAAGCAGCCGCATTACCATGCGTCTCCGTCGAATTTCGTTTCACCTATGCTGACCACAATGATCCAAGTTGCTCGTTGGAGCAGTTGGGGTCGTCCTCTCGCTTGCATTCGGATGTCGTTGGTTGGCTTGCGCGCGTGCATGTGCTTTGTTTACTCCTGCAAGATGTATATTTCCGATTCCTCGCTGTGGTTGTGCGTGTGAACGAAGTGCAGAAATGCCCGGCTGCTGTAGCGCTCCGAACTGCAGGTCGAACTACGCAGGACAGCCAAACGTGCGCGTGCACGTGTTTCCAAACGACCCGGTGCGGCGGGCGGCATGGACAAGAGCGGTTCCCCGAAAGGATTTTGCGCCTACAAAGAACACAGTGGTAAGATACGGCTTATAATTCGATACAGTGCTTGTCATTAGAGAGTGTCTCCGCAAACTGCTTTGCATTAGCGTTATACCGGGTACCATGGCCCTAAACGTGGAATGTTAAATATGTGTGGTCATCTAGCGGGGTCAAGATGAACCAGGCAAGCTTAGCATTGTTTTTGCAGCAATCTACTGCATTCCATTTCCCTAACGGGTAAATTCGCGGCGGCCGCCTATTATCGATTGAGCTGACCTTTATATCTTTTTCCTGAAGGAAACCACGCGAAAACAAACAAACGTGTCTATAATTGTGGTTGCACGAAGCGTCGCAAGATGTCCAAGGTATACCGTAATAATAATTATAGGGAAAAATAACGACTTTCTCCCATAAGGGGCAGACTGGGCTGTGAATTTACGTTTCTGCCATAATCGATTTAATTGAAGTAGATTTAAAAGGCATGAGGACAACTTAAAGAGAGGGAAAAAAATGAAAAGTTCTTAATTTTTTTTATGAGCCTGGTGGCGCACATGTCACCGCCCCGTTACACAGGGGACGCTCATAGCATCCATCCACCATGGAGAAGCTAAAAAAACTTTTACGCAATGCGCGTTTTAGCGGCTGAGCGTATCGATCACCAGCCTAATCGGCCTGGCTGAATGGTCGGAGCCTGAAACGTGCTCATATTTTGGTTTCATCAAAAGTCGAAAAGAACCGTCTCGCTTTCGACAGTGTATAAAACGTGGTCCCACATAATCCTTTTTTTTTTTTGTCTTTTCAGCTCTGCGAGAAGCATTTCGTGTCCAGCGACTACGTGAAAACGTCAAAGTACACTGATGTGAAGACGGGGAAGACTATTGAAGTGCCACTGAAAGTCTTCCGGCTGAAGCCTGATGCGGTACCAAGTGTGTTCCCGAATTGTCCTCAATACCTCTCTCGTCAAAATGCGTGTACTCGGGAGGCACCAGAGGAGAAACGAAAACGTTTTGAGGACGAATCACTCCGCATTGCCATTGAAAAATCTCTGGAAGAAAAGCAACAACAAGACAAGCAGAACAAAGTTACAAGCTTTTCAGAATTTCTTCGTGCTCTGCCAAGCTTTAACACCTCACCGTTTTGGTCTGTGGTCAGCATGGACTCAAAGGTTCTATTCCTGGATTTGACTGTTGATCGGGGTGCCTCTGTGCGTTCATCGGTGATAGTTCAAGACAGCATGTGTGTGGAAGTGTACTTTGGTGAAACGCGCGTAGTGGTGCTTGATGGTGTAAGTGTGCCTGCTCAGTTACAGGACTTGCGGCAACTAAGTGACATCCTTCATCATGTTGAGTGTCTGCGCACTCCTCATTCTTCCAACAATTTTCAGTGGGCTCGTCAACTACTTGCGACTGTGATGGCACTGTTGGAGGAGCTCATATGCAATGATCAGCAACATAAGCTTCATGGATGGCCCCTGGAAATTGTGAAGTTTATAAAATCCCAAGTGCAGCTCATCCTTAATAATGCAGCGCGCTACCCGCCAGACCTGTTAGTATTTGCAAGTCTCCTCTACACCATTTCGCCGCATGCATACAGATTCCTTATAGGTTCACTGAAGGTAAAGTTGCCTCATCCTGAAACAATAAGACGTCTCTGCACCACTCAACAAATAAGCCCAGCCATGGAGCAGCAAGACTCTTATTTTTTGTCATATGCTAAAAAGGTTGCTACTACAATGAAAGAACATGAAAAGATAGTAACTTTAATGATGGATGAAATTCACATTCAGTCATACTTTGATTTCAAAGCTGGGTCAATAACAGGTGCAGCAGCCAACACTGCAAGCCCGGCTAAAACAGCATATGTCTTTATGACCCAGAGTCTGCTTTCTAATCACAAAGATGTTGTGCATATTTTGCCAGTCGCTACAATTGATGCAAAATGCTTGCATGATTTTTGCGAATGCTAGTTTTAAAGCTCGAGCATAATGGGTTTAAAGTGATTGCTATCATCTCTGACAACAATTCTATCAACAGGAAAACAATGTCGTTGTTTTCAAGCCCTCCAAGACTACAGATAGTTTATAAACATCCAGCTGACCAATCGCGACCTTTGTTTTTTGTCGTGGACCCTGTCCACTTATTGAAATGTATCAGAAATAACTGGTTAAATCAGCGCAATGCAGGAAGGTGCATGTATTTCCCAGATCCAAAGAGTACAGAAGCCAAACCCAAGATTTTAACCGCATCGTTCAAGACTTTATGTGAGCTGCATGAGTCTGAACAAAGTGAGCTCTTGAAGATGGCTCCGACATTGTCATTAAAGGCATTAAATCCTTCTAACATGGAGAGACAAGATGTAAAGTTGGCATTGAGAATCTTTAATTCATCAACTGTGGCAGCACTTCACAATAGCAACCTTCAGCACGCTGACAGTACAGCTTTGTACATAAACACGCTGCTAACATGGTGGAATATTGTTAATGTAAAGACACCACGAAAGGGCCAGAGGCTTTCAGATGACCTGCAAAAGCCTATAACCTCAACATCTTGCCTCCAGTTACAGCATTTGGAGAAAACAATGCAGTGGCTAGACTACTGGGAAAGTTTGAAGCACGATGCAGGACATTTGACGAGGGAAACGCACTCAGCTTTCTGTCATACAACTCACGCGCTCCACGAGATTACTATTTACTGCCTCAAAGAGCTTGGTATGCAATATGTTTTGCTAGGCAAGTTTCAAACAGATTGTCTCGAGGATCGCTTTGGTCGTTACCGTCAGTTGTCTGGGGCCAACTATCATGTGTCAATTAGACAGATATATGAGTCTGAGACAAAGCTGCGGTTACAGAAAGTGCTCGAGCTGCCAGACGTTGACATGGTGTGCGATATTCCTGTCATTAGTGCCAGCTCACTGCTAAGCCAGTTTGACATCACAGTTAATGACAGTGATATTGAGAACAAAGTGACAAGGCTGCCCGCTGTGACATATGTTGCAGGTTACTGTGCTCACGCAGCTCTAAAGAAACTGTTGTGCCAATCATGCAAAGAAAACCTAGTAATGGATGTTGCAGAGATAGACACTGCTAAAAATGTCCTCATTATGAGCATGACAAGGGGTGGGCTGAAGTTCCCACGTGAACTTGTTATAAATGCTGTGCTTACCATGGAAATAGTGCTCGATAAGCTTAGGAGTCCACGCTTTGCAACTCAGTTCTTTGCTCTTCCTAAACAGAAAGAAGTGTTAGTGGCCCTTGTGTATGACATCCTCAGTGATAATGATGACCTGGATGTTTGTGTTGATGGGCATGCTCCTCAACAGGTCATGCATTACATTTTAAGTGCAGCAGCAAACACCCTCCTAAACAACTTGTGCAAAACGGCTAACGACAAGATGTCTGCCACAAAGGCAAAAACATCAAATGACAAGTTGCCTGCAACAAAGGCAAAGCGAAAACTTGAAACTGTTAAAAATTGAAGTGTCCTTATGCACTTTTGTTTCAACAGTATTCTTTGTAAATGAACTGCTTTTTTATTTATCGTTGTCAAGTGAAATGATCTGCATCCTACCATTTGTGAGAAGGCTGCCAATCTTGTCAATCTTGTTCTTTCTGTTCTGTACGGAAATTGTGCACATATGTGTTCCGCATGCTTGAAGCAGCAATTCGTGCCAAAGCATAAAGTGCATTTCCAGAAAAGTTACTACAGCAACTTCCAGACGCTGAGCCACACATGCACTTTTATGCTGACTGTTATGCTGCATATAATAAACAAATATTACTACTGAGCAGAAATGAGTCATTTTCTCTTTGAACACGAACATGTTTCTTCCACTTTCAGCTGCTGACACTTTGTTTTCATGTAACGTCAAATTTTGCCATTTTTCCAGCATACCTGTTAGAGCTTTTGAAACTCTAGGAAGTAACATCCGGATGTATTAAATGTATTATTGGAACCACAGCAGGGTTGAAAGTTATTACCTGATATCTGCATTGACGATTGAAATTTAGGTAAGTCTCTTCCAATCATTTAGAAAACTCATGTATAATCAAATTAGCAGAATGCCTCCTTAAGAAGCGAGGCTACCATCTGTAGCGATTTTTCCCGCTCAAGCTGCGTGCGTAATTGTGGACGCGGCATTCTAGTTAGCTTCTGTGCGTAACGCGAGCGAATTTTACTTTTGTCGCAACCTGCCGCTTTGCGGAGCGAACGGGTG